TCTTGGTGACCTTGGTGTTTGTTGCAGGCTCGGGCTGAGATGGTGAGTCCACACGTGCCGACTCATCCTCCAACCCCTCCTCCGCAGCAGGACCAGAAACTTGCTGCTCACCACCGCCACTGTGGTCACTGGTCAGCTCTGACCCTGGGAGATCCTCAAGGTGCAGCTGAACCTCCTCCATTGCAGACCGCTCAATCTCCTGCAAACGCAAGCCAATCTGCACCTGTTGCTGCTGCTGCCAATCCTTGTACATGACGTCCTCCACAAACTTGACGTCACGACTGACGAGCGTCCTCTTGCTCTTGGGGTCCCACATTAGCCACCCCTTCGAGTCAGGAGCCATCCCAAAATGGACAGCCCACACAGCAGCAACTTCCAGCTTGTGCCTCTGCTCCTTAGGCACCATCACAAGCCCCATGCAGCCCCATACCCGCAGCATGTCAATGGATGGCTTCTTCCCAAGCCAACGCTCGTACGGCACCCAATGCTTGTCGCCAACATGAGTCAAGACCCTGTTCTTGACCATGATGACATGGCGAACGGCATCAGGCCAGAACTTGTAGGGCATCCCAGCAGCCCCCAACAAGGTCTTAGCCGCCTTGCCAATGGTCCGGTTGGCACGATCAGCAATTCCGTTCTGCTGCGGTGTTCCAGGGCAGGTCAGCTGATGCCGGTTGCCATTTCTCTTCAGGAACTTGGTGAATTCCGCTCCAAGGAACTCTCCACCTCGGTCGCTCCTCAGCACCTTCACCAGCCGCATCGCTTGCCGCTCCACCATCGGCAACCAATCCTCCTTGATCACCGCTGCAGCATCGCTCTTCTTGGACAAGGGACGCGCCCACGTGAAACGGCTCCATTCGTCCACCATGGTAAGGAAGTACAGCACTCCCCCAGTCTCCTCAGTCCTCATAGGACCCACCAGGTCCATGTGCACCACCTCCAGCGGTGCCTTCGCTGATCCCTCCGCACGTGGAAACGGGAACCGCGCAAACTTGTTTTGCATGCACGCCTCGCAGCTGCCATAGTGAGCGCCATCTCCTTGCAGTTGCAGCCCATGCACGCACTTCTCCTCATGCATCACCTCCAGTGTTGAAACAGCCACGTGTGCGAGCCGCCGATGCCAAGTCTCCCAATCCGCTTGGCCCGAGGTAGCCGACGCCTTCACCGCCGCGCTTCCTCCAATCAGCTCCTCTCCTTGCACACCTTGCTGCTCCTCCTCGGTGACACTCTCCTCCATAGATGCCGCCGCTGCCGCCTTGCCCGATTTCCGCCAAGGGAGGATCGGGATCTGCCACATCCGCTTGTGGACATCTCCCTTCCACTGCAGGTCCCAAATGAGGCGCTCATCGTTGTAAGCACGATAGCGCTCCGAGCCAATCGTCTCGGTGTTCACACCCGCATCTCCCAACCGGCCGGTAGAAATCAGGTTCGCGCACAAGTCTGGCACCCACAGCACATTCTTCAGCCCCACGAGCTCTCCATCCGCTCCCATGAACTTGGCGCATCCCATGCCCATGACATTGGCCTTGGCGCCCGTCGCGGATGTGACCGTAGAGATAGGTGCGGGCTGAATCTCATCAAGTAGGTCCGCACGAGGAGTCATGTGCCAGGAGCTTCCCGAGTCAATCACCCAATGGGTGAGGGGGTGTAGGAGAACCTTGGCAGCCATAGCGAGGTCGGTTGCGCCTTCGTTCACGAAAAAGAAGAACCCGGCCTTCCGCTCCTCAGATTTGCCACCTTTCTCCTCCTCCTTCTCCTCTCCACTAGCTCCCATGACTCCCCCACTCCTCTTGCCACCATGCAGGTTGCTCAATGAAGGCGGGGTCCAATCCTTGGGTCGTTCGTAGCACTTCCGCCAACGATGTCCGCGCTTCTTGCAGTAGAAGCATACCTCCCCTTGACCCCCGCCGCCATCCTCCTTAGGGTTGTCCTTGTTTTTGCCCTTCCACTTCTTCTTGAAGCCACTCTTTCCACCTCCAACTCCATAGCCAGCCCCCTCCTCCGAGCGCTCCACACTCCGCCGCCGCAGGTCCTCCTCTAGGATGCGCGCGCGAATGTAATCCACGCTCCATTGGGGTTAATGGGAGTTGAGGTTGATCGCTAGGGCAGACCACGACTCCGGCAGCCGTATCACAATCTCCACGCATTGCACGAGCTCCGGGTACACCACACCGCCTCCTTGGAGCTTCGTGAAGATGTCCCGCATCTCATCCAACACCGGTTGCATCGGCTCTCCATCAACGAACTTGATGTCGCGCAGCCGCCGCGCGAGTAGCACGATGCCGGTAGCATGTGTCGGTGAGTGCACATCCAGAAGCTTCCTCCAAGCCTTGGGGCCACACTCTGGATCACCCAAGAGGTCCTTGATGTGGTCAAGTTGTCGTCCGCCAACCGCTTGCACCATGAGCATGTACGCATCGAACGATCGCTTCATCCACGCTCCTTTCAGCTCCGCGGCCTCCGGCATCTTCTCCTTCCCCTCCACCAGATCCAATAGCTTGTATTGGGTGTACATCAGCCTCACGCGGAAGCTCCAGTGCTCGTAGTCCTCCCCCATGAATTTCTCAATAGAGAACGCCTTCACAGAATCCACGGTTGTTGGAGATGGTGTAGAAGACATAGGTAGCGTAGGGTTGGCTGGTTGGTGAGTCCCCACTCCTCCACCAGCGACTCCCCCCTGCTCTCCAGCCTCTCTACTTCTATCCATCTCGCCACTAGCACCTCCGGAGTTCGTACCAACCATATTGAGGCTTTATGAACGATGGAAACTTGAGAAATCGTTTGGAGAGAATTCTGCCAGAAATTTCGATTCTACGAAAAACGCCGTCGCGGACTCAATAATTCGAATTAGAACGCGGTTTGACCACCAATCGAAATTTCGCGAGCAGAGCTACTAGAAAATGATCTCACTGAACATCATTGGTTGAGAATTCACGACGATTCGTCGTCTCGAAGTCGACTACCCGCTCTGATACCACTTGTTGTTCAGGATCTGTCACTTTGAGAACTTACGACGAACTCATTACTCAATTAAACGCAAATCCGCTTGGTAGGATTGTGCGTCTTAGGCTTAGCTACCATCTCCAAGTTGAATCAGTCGTTAAGATGGTCTAGAGAGTGAGAACCATGTAACAACGTCCTGCAGCCGCATGACTAGAATGGTGGGGGAAGTACAAGCATGTAGGCATAGAAAGTTGGAGTTGGGAACCTCCAAGAGAACCATGAGAGGGAAGGGGTTCTCCAAGAGCTAGGGAAGGATGTTAGGAACCTTCCTAGCAGCAAAGATGCAACCCTCATCATGAGGTCCTTGAGGTGTCACATGCAAAATCCAATCTAGTTGGATTTTGCCTAGGTGTTGCAACATTTGCAACCCATGCTAGAAACTTCTAGCCACCCCAATCCAAAAGTCAAAGTTTTGTAATAAGAAATCCAAGTCTTGGAAATCTTGTAACTTGCGCGATCTTGGTCGGAATAAGGCGATCTTGGTATCGTTGGAAAGCTCTGGATTTCTCCTGCATGATCAAGCATTTAGACTTGGAGAAAAACACAGAGATGACAATATCCAACAGCCATGCATAATGACATATGCTCATGCAAATCATGCAAGCACAAATAGCACGAGCACTCGGCAGGACGTTAGGATGACATGCACTCAGAATGACGTGCATCCATTATTACCGACCTTACCCGTGCAGCCCGTGCCGGAACTACTCAGCGAGACAGAACAAATGCTAGGCTGCGCTGGAAATTACTCCTTCGCCTCGTCAATGATGACATCTACATCGCCCTTTTCCGAATGCAGAGGAACGTATTCCGTTACCTTGCGGCAGAGTACTCAATCTCCCGTCCCCACATGGACCGTTTGTCATGCTCAACTGAACTGCCCGTCGCCATGGCGTTGTCACGGCTTGGACATGCGTGGTTATATCGCCTTCTTGCACTACATTTCGGTGTAAGCCGCACGCTCGCCATGGTCGTTTGTGACGAGTTTGAGGAGTTCGTCGTTAACCATTTGGGTCCCTTGTGGGTTTGGTGGCCAACAGAGGAGGAGCTGCCAGCCATGGAGGAAGAGTTCAAGAGGTTAGGGGGGGATTCCAGGTGTCGTAGGGGCAGTGGATGGAATGTTCATACCGGTGCGCGGATTTGCTGAGCACAAGAGTGACTTCATGAACCGCAAGGGTTTATTTTCCGTAATAGCACAGCTGGTTGTGAGGGCAGACGGCACGATTTACGATTACGACATTGGGTGGCCAAGGAGTGTGAATGACGCACGCGTTTATAATAACAATCGCGCATGCCAGCGCATAGAAAACGGAGAACTTCATGGGCGAATGCTAGTTGCTGATGCCACCTACGGCCTACGTAGCTACGTGCTGCCTCCTTACAAGGTACCAACAGGAAGGGGCGTAAGTGATGCAGAGATGGTCTTCAACAAGCAGCAGAGTAGGGAGAGGATGGTTGTAGAGCAGACCAACGGCCGACTCAAGGGAAAGTTTCGCATCTTGGATGGTCGAATGGAGTCATCCCATGCGAAGGTTCCACGAACGGTGGGGGCATGCTAAGTGATTCACAACATTGATAATACCCTTGGGTCACGGCCACGGATGGGGCCGCCGCGTGATGCACACCGATGGTGGTTGACGGGTCCAGCAACCCTTGCAGTCCACATCACTCATGAGACGGCGGGTTTTATACCGTCTCGCCGTCGCGATCAGCTTGCACAGACCCTACACGCTGGCTGGTTGGCGTCGCGACCGACCATGAGTTGACCAACGATCGGGTGAGCACCTCCCAGCGAGAGCATGCGCGATCTACTGCATCACTTATAGCTGACGCAATGCTTTCAGCCATAACATGTGCAATCGCAATGTCCGGAGCACTTTCGTGATGGCTTGTGCGCATTGATGGTGACTCCCGTGCAGGCGGCGCCCGAGGCCCACTCGTGGCCGCACCGGGGCTGCTCCATCCACCAGCAACACGTGATGGGGAAGCTGGACACACTACGGAGGGGGTCGGGACGGGTCGACGTGGAGTTGAAGCCACACGTGCAGAACCACCACCGGTGCTAGCAGCCCGAATAGTAGCTTCAACAGAAGCATTCGCGGCTGATGCTCCCCCGCCTGTGCGCCCACCTGCCCGAAGCGGTCCACCACTCAGAGGAGTCCTTTGGACACCCTGCACACGTGGGGCGATGAAAAATGCAGGGAGAGCGGTATTGGAAGTTGGTTTTTTTTTTTTCTTTTTTTTTTTGTTAAAGCAATTTTGTTTTCAGCATTTCTATATTCCCTTCCGTGTTTCCTTTTACAATTAAGTTCTCATAGCATCAGCAGGCTTACGTGTGCCAGTGGTATGCGTCGTGGTAGGGCCACCGCTGGTAGTGTGATGGTGTGGCTGCACAGATGGCCTGTTGTCGCGGAAAGTATCAAACAGCGTGTACCATGCAGGGAGGACCCGGACTGCAGCGCCACCACCCCGCTTCATCCTGTCACGAATCTGCCGGTACTGTGCCTCAATGCGCAGGAGCTTGATTTTGCAGGCGCCTTGCATGTGACGGAAATGGGGGTGCTGCTGCAGCAGCTGGCTGTGAAGCGTAGACCAGTAGTTTGCGCCCTGTATCCCGCGCATGAGGTCCCACTGCGGCTCAAGATCAACACGAGCTTGCACCAGCTGCATCATCTCGGATGGAGTCCAGCGCCCGCGGGTGGTAACATCCACAGGAGCAGGAGTGGATAAATTAACACGGGCGGGGTCGACAGGAATTTCGTGTATCTCCTCGCCATGGTCTCCCAAATTATCCACATCTGGCAGAGTGTCCACATCGTACTCCTCGTAGTACTCGTCCGCCAGGTTGAGAGGATCCCATTCCGGCTCCACGGGAGGGGTCCTGGTAGGGGATGTCAGGGGCGGAGCATTGTTAGAGGCCCCCATGCCTGGCGAGAAGACGCCTGCAGATTGCGGAAGGTAGGCAACACGCGATTCTTGAGTATTTGGACCGAGTGCTTGCGTGTGATTGTTTGGATTAGTAGAGGTAGCCATAGGAGTACTAGTTTTGGTAGATTGTAGAACTTTATTCAATAAAAGTTTTATGATGTTATGTGGGTGATACTAGTTCAATTTATGCTGGAAATCCATCGTTCACACAGGTCCAAGTCTGTAAGCATTGACGGCAGCTATGGTTGTGTAAGTTGGGCCGCATATGCAGTTAACGATGCGCACCACTGGGCCGGCCCGTCCCCAAGTTTCACGGATTTCCTGGTTTCGTGTGAAAGTGTAAGATGCGCTTATGCTTCATGGGCGTTCTTAACGGCGCACCTTCAGACAACAGCATCCTTCGTCGCAGAACAATGGAGGGCTTCACGGCCCGCCTATAACGGCAAAACGGTGTCGCACATGATAGCGTGGCCTGCTTGTTTGCTGGAGTTGCGGTGTTTCCAGAAATTCACAGCGCTGGGTATTGGCGTTGAAGGGGAGTGCATTTGTGTGCAGGGGGATGGTGGCGCCAATTGACCAACTTGACTGTCGCAGGGAAATTTGCGACAGGATGGAGTTTGCCCAAAGGAGATGCAGCGAATTTGGAGATCTTGCTTCATGTTCTTTCTGTTTCAAGTACGCTTTCCCTGATGTCTGTATGGTACGTAGTCCAAGTTGAGGGGGGAGTCAGTAAAATTTGGACAGAGCTGTCCCGTGTCCAGACGAAAGGGTTGGCGAGTGGCGAAAATCCAGTTTGTGGTTACTTTTCACCTAATGAAATGTAAGTGTACTTTCGGGACACGCCCTCACGGTGGAACGTACCTCACAGCAAAATGAGCTCACACAAACACAATCCCAAGCACCTAGCACTCCGATTCAGCCCGCACCACAGGCATCGCAACACGAAAGCGTGGGGCAACCCGCGAGCGCCGCAAGTGATGGCGTTGTCCGCCATGACGGAGACGACGACCACAGCACGACACACCCCGACGCGACGAATGCAGCCAGGAATCAGCCTCGAGTCACTATTTCGGTGCCGGCCGGAGAATCAACTCTACCGTCGCCGATGCCGCTGAAGCCGCAGCATCCGCCATGTTTCGATCCAAGTCAGCGGGGTGGTCCTACCGTTCAGGCGTGGCTTTTCACGTTGAACGTTTTCTTCGACGCGAACTACGTCTCGGAGGATACGGCGAAGATTCGTTACGCCATGTCGTTGCTGCGAGGACCCGCCATGGACTGGTGGCGTGTCATCGTCACGAAGCCGGTGGACTACGCGACTCTACCGACACGGGAAGGACAAACCGGACCCTAGGCGCTGTCGTATTTTGTGGAGGTGGCCGACGTCGACCTCGACTCAGGACGTCGAGCAGCAAGGCGTCAAGTAGCGGGGCGTCAACTTCGTGACGCCAACTTCGGGTGGCCGACGTGGGTGGTCGGCCGACGACGGTACTGGTCGACGTGGAGCTGGTCAACCAGAAGGGACGTCGACCTGGAGGAGGTCGACCGAGGGGCGTGGTCGTCGACTTAGGAGGTCGACAGACACGTACGGGAGCTGCTGGTCGACGTGTTTGCCTGGTCGACCAGGTTACCTGGGTGACGAAGTGCTGCGGAGGAGTGCGACGGTCGCCCAGGCGAAGTTGGCAAGCCCGACCTCGGTGGTGGTATCCCGAGGTCGTCGTGGCGGATCAGAGGCAGTCGTCAGCTCGAGGCTGACGTGGTGTGTGCGCTGTGCAGGTGACGAGACTCTGCACGCCAATCATCCGCGCGCACTTGCGAAGCAGGTGCACTGCTGTCCAGCGTGAGCAACGCTGGCACGCCGTCAGCCTGCGACGTTGGCACGCCGTCGACCTTGCCTTGCTGGAGCGCGGTCGACCAAGTCGTGCTGGAACGCGGTCGACCAAGCTGCGCTGGCAGTTGGCCAACCTGAATGCTTGCTCTAATGTAGTCTTGCTATGCCAACTTCATTGTACCATTGTACTGAACTTTTCCTAATGGAACTCTTGCCAACTTTCCCCGTGAACTAGCAAGTAGTGTGCGCGCAAGGAAAACGACTAAGGACTAACGAACGCAGAGATCACACGAGCACCCGTGCCTAGCCGGTAGTCTAGCTCCCGTTGTAGCAGTTATCTCCGCAGCCTCATGCTGCCGTACCTGTTCCCTGACCTCGCTGCTTTTCCCACAGTCGCTGACCTCATTACGCACCTCCGCACTAGTGACACCCGCTACCGCGCTGCGCTTCCTGCTGAGTTCTGCGCCAAGAACCCCCCCCCCCCCCCCCCCCCCCCATGTACATCACCCTCTACTACCTATTCACCTGGCTCCCTGACTCCCTTCGCTCGAACAGGGACCACTTCCTCTCTGTTTGCCCCACCACACTCACCGTTGACCTCCTCGAGGAGCGCCTCCTTGCAGCTGAGAAGAGTATAGTCCCTATAGGAGCCTCTCGTGGTGACCCTCGTGCCCCCTTCTTTGAGGGGTGCTCCCCCTCCCCCCTTTTGCCCTCTGTTTCCTCTGCTACTGCTGATGACCTCGTTGGCACCGAGTCGGTCGGTGCTGCGTCTGCCCCTAGCGGGAGACGCCGCAACGACAAGGGCAAGGGGGGCAAGGGCAGTGTAGGAGCTGGCGGGAGCGGTGGTGGTGGCGGTGGAGGCGGCGGAGGGGGTGGGGGTGGCGGTGGGAGCGGTGGCGGGGGTGGGGGCTTCGGTGGCGGCGGTGGAGGCGGAGGCGGCGGCGGCAATGGTGGTGGGAGCGGAGGAGGCGGCGATGGCGGCGGTGGCGGCAGTGGCGGTGGAGCTGGTCGGGATGGCTCTATGCAGCGGGGCGGCTTCGGTGGTGGTCAGCGCTAGCAGCAGCAGCGCACTTGTGAGATCCCGTTTCCCAGGCAGCTTCGTGAGTGGTACGCCGCGCGTCAGCGGGGTGAGGGTGCTGGTCCCTATGCCTACGTCCTGCGTACCGGCGACCGCACTGGTGAGCCGTGTGGTGGCCCGCACACCACCCAGCGCTGCTTCCGCCGCTTGACGGACGCCTGGCGTCTCCAGTTCCCTGACGCCACTGAGATCCCTTGCTGGGTCGAGCTGCTTAGGTCGGGGGTTGCTATCTTTGATCTTGATTATGATGCTTTTCTTGCTGCCATGTATGTTGTGTCTTCTAGTGATGAGGGTGACTGTTACCTATGTGTTCCGCTTGACCCGGGCATCGTGGTTGCTGCTCCAGGTGCTGGTGAGGCTGCTGCTCTAGGTGCTAGTACGTCTGCTGCTCCAAGTGCTGGTGAGTCTGCTGCCCTAGGTGCTGGTGAGTCTGCTCTCTCAGGTACCATGTCGGCTCAGGTTTTGCACACCTTCACCCTTGACTCGGGTGCTTCCTGTTCCTTCTTTTGAGACTGCACCACACTCACGCCGCTTAGTCGGCCAGTTGCAGTCTCACTGGCAAACCCCTCTGGGGGTCCTGTCGTTGCCCACTTCTCCACTGTCTTACCGTGTCTGGCACCCTGTCAGGTCTTTACCTCCCCTCGTTCTCTACGAACTTGGTGAGTGGTGCTGACCTACAGGATGGGGGGGTTGACCAGTTCAGTCTTGCGAGTCAACGAGTGACCCACTGTACGTGTGCTCAGACGGGCCAACACTTGACCACGTTTACCCGTCAGTCGGGGTCGAGCCTGTACACACTGACTACTGAGTCTCCTCCGGTTGCTGCGTCTGGTAAGGTAGCTGCGTCAGGCTAGGTGTTTGCTGCAGCGTCCAGGTCTGGTCCTCATTCTGCCCCCTGCTCATGTCGTCTCCTGTCTCGCCAGACACTCCTCTGGCACCACCAACTTGGTCACCCCTCCCTGCCTCGTCTCCGAGGCATGGCCCCCCGTGTCCTTGTCTCTGGTCTTCCCCGGTCCCTCCCTCCTCTTCCCCCGGGGCCTGCCCCTACCTGCGTCCCCTAAGTCGAGGGGCGGCAGCGTGCCGCTCCTCACTCCTCCGAGTTTCCTCCGACAGAGGCTCCGCTGCAGACGCTTCACCTGGACGTGTGGGGCCCCGCCCGCGTCCGTGGACAGGGTCGCGATCGTTACTTCCTGCTGGTAGTTGACGACTACTCGCGTTACACCATAGTCTTCCCCTTGCGCAGCAAGGGTGATGTCATAGAGGTGTTGATCGACTGGATCCGCGCAGCTCATCTCCAGCTCAGAGAGATTTTCGGCTCGGACTTTCCTGTTTTGCGTCTGCACTCCGACAGAGGCGGAGAGCTTTCCTCTGACCTTCTGCACGCTTTCTATCGTGCACGGGGCATCCGCCAGACGTTCACGCTTCCGGCCTCTCCACAGCAAAATGGGATTGCTGAGCGCCGCATTGGCATGGTCATGGACGTCGCTCGTACGTCCATGATCCATGCGGCTGCTCCCCATTTTCTGTGGCCGTTCGCGGTTCAGTATGCGGCGCATCAGATCAACCTTCAGCCCGGGGTCTCCTTGCAGGAGACCTCCCCTACTTTGCGGTGGACGGGGAAGGTTGGCGATGCGTCTGCGTTTCGTGTCTGGGGATCTCGAGCTTTTGTCCACGACTTGTCTGCAGACAAGCTGTTCCCCTGTGCTGTTCCCTGCGTCTTCCTTGGCTTCCCCCCTGACGCGCCTGGCTGGCAATTTTACCACCCCACCTCGCGCGGTGTTCTGTTTTCCCAGGACGTCACGTTTGACGAGTCGGTTCCTTACTATCGTCTCTTCCCCTACCGCACTGCACCCCTCCCCCCGCCGCCGCTCTTCCTCGCGCCAGGTCCCCCCCCGGTAGACCCCCTTCCCCCTCAGGGTCCTGCCCCCTCTGGTGTGTCCCAGGTAGACGCAGTCGAGCCTGTCGAGGTAGCTGTTGACTCTGGTGCTGCTAGGGGTGCTGAGTCTGTGGGTGCGGGGTCTGGGGGTGCTGAGCCTTGGGGTGCTGAGTCTGGGTGTGCTGAGCCTGGGGGTGCTGCGTTTGGGGGTGCTG